CAACTTGGGAAGGAAAGGGTTTATTGGGCTTACACTTCCATATTGCTGGTCATCATTGAAGGAAGTCAGGATAGGAACTCAAGCAGGGCAGGATCCTGGAGGCAGGAGCTGAAGCAGAGGCCGTGGAGGGGTGCTGCTTACTGACTTGCTCCCCATGGCTTGCTCAGCCTGCTTTGTTATAGAACCCAGGACCAGCAGCCCAGGGATGGGCACCACCTACAATATGCTGGGCCCTCCCCCATCAATCACTAATTAAGAAAACGCCCTACAGGCTTGCCGACAGCCCATACTGGAGCGTGATTATAGCTGTGTCAAGCTGACATAAAATGCCAGCACAAGCAGCCAGTGCTCTTAACTGCTGAGCCATCTCTCCAGCCCCAAATCTTAAATATTCTGATTCCCATCTGCTTTATCCAGGAAAGTGCCAGAGAGAAGCACTCTATCCAAATAAGGGCACAGATCAAGAAACATAAAAACATGAGCATCTAATGAGTAGAAGCTGAAGAGAGAGGGGAACGAAATTCCCTTAGCCCAGGTAAAGGTGCAGGGGGCTCCAGGAAGAAGACTCTGCCAGGGCTAGAGACCAACTGGCCCTTCCCGAAGCTCCAGAGAGCCCATCTCCAGTGTGTTTGAACCATATGAATGAAACTTTCCAACTCTGGTGGGACACACAGCTGAAATGCTGATAGGTATAGAGAAAACTAGGCAAACTAAAAAGGAGGGGTTTATAAATGCCAAGGAAACATTTTCCTAGCAAATTGCCTGTTCCAGGATTCCACTTTGGTCAGTTAGCCATGAAGCCGAGGTAGAAGCTGTGCCACGTCTTGGTTCCCTGCCTGCTCTGCCACAGACACTGCTCAGTGTGGTGGTAGTGTGTCCCCAATATATCGTGCACCCTAGTAAACTTATCTGGGTCAGAGAACAGAACAGCCACTAGACAGACATAGAGGCCAGAAATTGGTGGCACACACACCTTTAATCCTAGCCTTCTGGAAGCAGAGATCCATCTGGATCTCTGTGAGTTCAAAGCCACACTGGAAACAGCCAGGCATGGTGACACATGCCTTTAATCTCAGGAAGTGATGCAGGAAGCAGAAAGGTATATAAGGCATGAGGACCAGGAACTAGAGCTGGTTAAGCTTTTAGGCTTTTAGCAGCAGTTCAGCTGAGATTCATTCAGATAAGGACTCAGAGACTTATAGTCTGAGGAAACAAGATCAGCTGAGGGATTGGCGAGGTGAGGTAGCTGTGGCTTGTTCTGCTTCTCTGATCTTCCAGCATTCACCCCAATAACTGGCACCATGTTTGATTTTATTAATAAGACCTTTTAAGATTCATGTTCTGGCTCAGGAGTGCAGACAGCTGAGAGGAGACCTGCAGCTCTCCCACTGCCGGGTGTGAGGCATCACGGAAGGAATCCTTTCTTCATCTAACAACACAGTGGTATAGGGAGGGTTCTGTGGTTGTCAGTGTGGTGTGGAAGTGGGTCGATCTCTGGGACAGCCAGGGCTACATAGAGAGACTGCGTCTCAAACAAAACAAAAACTTAGGGCTTTATACATGCTAGTAAGAAGCCTTCTGACACTCATTCAGGAAGTATATGAAGTCTTTCTCTCCTCTTATTGATTCACAATCCCACAGAACTCTTCAGACTGTAGGTTCTACTCCCTCGAGTCTCGTCCTCCTGGCTTGCCTGCTCAGGTCACGGATACTCCGATCTTGAGATGAAGCATTTCTTAATGTTGCTAGATATCTATAAACTAATGGGAAGGAGCTCCCTCTGAAAACCCATGCTGGACAGGCGACATGGTAACGTCAAATTTGCTCTGATTACTTCTGTATCTGGTAGCATAGATCAGGACGTGCCAATGATGATGTCTGGCAGTCTGACTACCTATCTATGGAATGAACTACCAACTGAAGCAGGCTTCTTCAGCGTCAAGAATTGTCATCTCCCAGCTATGGTTCAGTTACTCTCGAGTGACTATTGCTAATGGAAGAAATAACAAATAGCCTAAAATACTGGTCAAAATCCTAGTAAAAATGCAGTTTTTCACTCGTAAGTCAAGGGTAGTCACAAAGTATGACTTATGCCTAGGAAAATGGATTTAGCGAGTGTTTAAAATACTTTCCTGACTGAAGTCACATGAAAGTGCAGAGAATATGGCAGCTCCTGTTGTTAAGATCTATGACTAAACTGGAGGTCAACCCATTTAGAAAATGCTTTGCTACATGTATACTGGAAGTTATTCTGCTTACATAGCTGTTGGGGACCTTTGGATAATCTCATCCTAAACAATGCACTACTTATAATATACTTTTGTATATTTCTCTGGTAAAGCAACAGACTGCTTGCCATATATAATTTAAAATAGTCATTTTTCTTCTTAAAGTGATTAAATGTTGCATTTGAAATATTTTTTAAGAGTAAAGGAATGATAAGTGGCCTTTTTATTTTTAAAGAGGCTTACTGGTGGTTTAGAAAACACCACTAATGCACTCTATTAGGATTATAACTGGGGTTGTGATAATTGGTGACACCCAGAGCCACCTGGGAAAACATCCAGTGAGAGGAGATACACTGAGGCTGAGGCCTAGAATTACAATTCAGATGCTGCCCAGCTTTGAGATGATGGTAATCTCAAAGAGACTGGCTTCAGCATAAAAAGTATTCTCATTTCATTCTTCCTGTTTGGAGAATGCAGTCACACTAAAAATACCACCACCACCAAGCTTAAAACTGGCAAATTATCAGAACTATCGGTTAATAAATCTCCTAAATCCTCAGTCTGACAGTGTTGGGAAATGTCACTGCAAGCCACAAACAACAGTGGACAGTTTAGCCTCTCAAGGCAGACAAATGGCTACTGGTTTTAGTCAGTTCTCAGTGAAAACCTTCTCTTCACATGGATATTTTTAATGAAGGTAAAATTAAGGAAAAGAATTGAGATTATACTGCTTAGTAGAGATGAATCAACAGGTTGTCAGATATTTGTCAGATATTTGACCAACCCTTCCTGGTTCTTCACTGTAAACTCACTTAAGTCTTAACTAATTCCATTGGTTTATATACTGACTACTTCTGTGTGTCACCTGTATGGCTCCCCATTTCCCCCAATTCGGCCTTAGAGGGCTTTTTATATAATCCTGAGTAAATGGTAACCCCAGGAAAAGAAACAGATATAAAACTGGGCTGTGTATTTTCTTTCTTTCTCCCTTCCTTCCTTCCTTCCTTCCTTCCTTCCTTCCTTCCTTTCTTTCTTTCTTTCTTTCTTTTTTGTTTTTTGGTGACAGAGTTTCTCTGTGTAGCTTTGGAGCCTGTCCTGGAACTCACTCTGTAGCCCAGGCTGGTCTCAAACTCATGGAGATCCGCCTGCCTCTGCCTTCCGAGTGCTGGGATTAAAGGCGTGCACCACCGCCACCCAGCTGGGCCATGTATTTTCAAATGGCAAGTTTAGTGCTCACTATGAGTTTTCTTCAGGAGGGTCCTCTGTGGTGTCTGTCTTCTGCAGGAGGGTCCTCTGTGAGGGTCTGTCTTCTGCAAGAGGGTCCTCTGTGGGTGTCTGTCTTCTGCAGGAGGGTCCTCTGTGGGCGTCTGTCTTCTGCAGGAGGGTCCTCTGTGGGCGTCTGTCTTCTGCAGGAGGGTCCTCTGTGAGGGTCTGTCTTCTGCAAGAGGGTCCTCTGTGGGCGTCTGTCTTCTTCAGGAGGGTCCTCTGTGGGCGTCTGTCTTCTGCAGGAGGGTCCTCTGTGGGCGTCTGTCTTCTGCAGGAGGGTCCTCTGTGGGCGTCTGTCTTCTGCAGGAGGGTCCTCTGTGGGCATCTGTCTTCTGCAGGAGGGTCCTCTGTGGGCGTCTGTCTTCTGCAGGAGGGTCCTCTGTGGGCGTCTGTCTTCTGCAGGAGGGTCCTCTGTGTCTGTCTTCTGTAGGAGTCTTCTGTAGGCTTAGAGGCATTTGAATATTGATAGTAAGTTTTAGTTCTTTTGCTAGAAAACTAAAATAAATCCTCTCCAAATACTTAAACAATTCTCTGCTGGTTTATGAAATACTTTCCAATAAACCTTTCTGTACTGTTCCCTCCATTCCTGTCCCTAGACATATGTCTTCTCATATGTTACCTGGATCCCAGTGGAGATCCAGGGTAAAGCACCATGTGCCTGTAATTTGCTGCAGATAATTGGGGATCTGGGGTCCAAGTGATGATTCTTCTAAAACAATATATATATATAAGATGTTTCTTAGGCTGGTGCAGTGGTGACTGCCTGTAATCCCATCAGTCAAAAGGGCCTAGATAGCCGAGTTAGGAGCTTGAGGCAAAGCCTCGCCAGCAGGAAGAAGGAAGAAGGGATGGGGGGTAGAGAACAGGATAGGGTAGGAGAGGGGAGAGAAGAGAGGAGCGGAGAGAAGAGGGGAGGGAGAGAAGAGAGGAGCTGAGAGAAGAGGGGAGGGAGAGAAGAGAGGAGCGGAGAGGAGAGGAGAAAAGAAGGGGGAGAGGAAAAGGGGGGAGGAGGAGAGGAGAGGAGAAAGTAATGGGGAGGGGTAGAGGGAGGAGGGGAGGAGGGAAGGAGAAGAAAGGAGGAGGGGAGGAGAGAGAAAGAGTGAGAGGGAGCAGCGGGAGGAGGAGAGAGGAAGAGAGGAGAGCTCCAGGAGGGGAGGAGAGGGGAGGAGAGAGGTGAATGCATGGGTCCTTCTGGGGCTGTAGAGATGGCTCAGTTGTTACCAATGCTTGAGGCTTTTTCAGACAATCAGAGGTCAGTTCCCAGCTGACATCCACATCAGGCAGCTTAGGACTCTCTGCAGCCAGCGCCTTCTGGCTGACCTGGGCACCTGCACTATGTGCACATTCTGTCTTACACACATAAACTTTTAAATTGTTTTAAGAAAAAGGCACTTGAGGCTCAATGTTGAGTGCTTGTGTAGCACACACAAAGTCTTGGGTTTGATCCCCAGCACTGTAAAAAAACTGACACCTCAAATCAAATCAAATGAACAATATTTACCTATCTGGATTTGAAAAATCATATTTTATTTTGTATATATTGTAACAAGCTTGAAACATGAAACATAAATAATTTTGAAGTAATTTCCTTTGTTATACTTTAATGACACAGCATTTAAAAAGGTTTTAAACTTTTTACTGTTTTCTGAGTGGCTCTATCCCTTGAGCATCAAGGATCTTACACATTAGAATGAGGTCTGAGAAATGGTTCTGTCTCTCTGAAAGCAATGTAGCAATAACCCAGTAGAGGTCTCTGTGTTAAAATCAGCCAGTAGAATATAGCACCTAGGTCTAATTTAGTATCTTTGGGTTCAAATTACATTGCTACCAAATAAAGGCAGTTCTGTGACTAGGGACTGTTGCGGGGATCCACCAGAGAAGACAGCTCAGATGTGGGTTTAAGCCAATAGAAAGTCTTTATTAGCCGGCTATCGACTACACTGGGTGTTCGGGATCCCAGTGTAGCCCTGAGCCTTTCTCAGGGTGAAATTTTAAGCACAAAAAACATGTTCTGGGTTGACATACTTCAGTTAATAAGAACAGTTAGCCAGAAGTGTAACTAACTACAGAAGCCAAAAAGCAAGGTTAGTACATTTAGAGACTTCCCACAACTGTGGGCTTGGATGGTTTTTGCCTCTGAAAAGGTTTTGCTGGTGGTGCTGTCTACACACTGAGTGTTGCAGCCTGAATGACACTTCCATCATGGAGTCAGTTGTGCTAAGGTCTCGGACTCTGTTACAAGGGCCTTCCTATAAAAAAAATTAAAATATATTAAAAGAGACAAATACAGCTTGCCTTCCCTAGGGGAGGGATTTCTCTTAAATTCTAATAAAATTGTCTCGAGTGGGAGCAAATGAAAACCACTGGAAACATTAAAAACTGACACTGTAACATAAGGCTTTTAGTTTTGTTTTGTTTTTTTATAACTTCCCTGGTTCTGATTACTCCCATGCTTGGTTCAATTCAAAGGATGTTATGACCATCAAATACCATTTTCAGTATTTGGTGCCTGTGAGCAGTTCATTCTAAGAGGAGCAAATAAGCAGTGACCATGTGCAGGTGAGGCGTGTATTTCTGTAGAGAATTTAAACAGTTAAATCCCTTGAAAAGTCAGCCGTCAGCAGCGACTGCAGTGGTCAAACACTGCCTGCTGGGTAGATGTGCTCTTGTGGTAAACGGCAACGTTACAGGCTCAAAGCCAGTACTCAGAGCGCTAGAGACAGTTACTGGAGAGGGGCTCATTCTCACATTTGGTACGTTTTGAAAATGTTACTCAGATTAAGACAGCCTATAGCATGTTCCAGTTTTAAATGTAAGATACACATAATATTTTTAAAATTCCAAAGAAGAGAACTGTCACTATGAATGACCTTCTACTTGGACCCCTGTGTATCATCCTGCACCTAATGTTTGAGAACCTGTGCTGAGCACGAACTGCCCTTACTAGTGATTTGATTCCATTATAACCAATCATGTAAGGCACCTGTTCTTAAATAAGCCTGACTTTATTGCTGTAGGTTATTATAAACAAAGTAATAGCTAACGAAAATCAAGTCCATGTCATTAAAAATCATAATGTATTTCTGTTGACTCTTTGAACTCCAGGTTCATAAGGATATGAATAACTGAGGGGCCCAAACAATTCCATCAGAAGTGAAATCAAACTAAAGCAGCATCCAGTGCCTGTGAGGGCAGCAGAGCACCTCCGAGTGTGCCCACAGCCTGTGATGACCCCAGCACAGGACGGGGTGCAGAAGCACCTACATCCTGTTGTCATTACCCACGGTTCCAGATTTACAAACTTCTCCTACAAACACTCCAGTTAGGGAGTGAAAGGATATTTTAAAGAGGCAAACCATTCTCCCTTTAAATATTCTGTTGCATGTGGAAAATGTGAGAATATACCGAACAACAAAGATCCTGTTTTATATATGCTCAGAGGTGGTGGCATACACCTTTAATACCAGCTAGGGAAGCAGATGAATCTCTGAGTTCCAGGCCAGCCTGGTCTACAGAGTGAGTTCCAGGACAGCCAGGGCTATACAGAGAAACCCTGTCTTGAAAAAACAAAACCAAACAAAGCCCCCATTTTATATACACTGAGAAAGTCAGGCTGAGGAGATGGCTCAGGAGGTCAAATGCTTGTTGCTTGAGCATGAGGATCTGAGTTCAGTCCAGGGGTGGTGGGGACTATAAACCCCAGCATTGCAGGGGCAGGGCAGGGCAGTGCAAGGCAGGGCGGGCAGAGAAGCAGGTGCTCTTGGGGGCTTGCTGGCTAGCCAGACTAGTCTAAATAGTGATTAGGTTCAGTGAGAAACTCTTTTCCCAAAAATTATGTGGAAAGTACCCAACTTCCTTCTCTGGCCTCCACAGGCACATGCACAGTGAATATGCATGAGCAGGCAAATGCATGCACACCCCATGGAGAATGGGGCTGAGTTTGGGGAGGAGGTACCTTATATTTTGATTACTCTGTAAGCATACTGACCTAACTAGAATGAATTGTTCACACCTAAATTACATGTTTGGAACATTATATATGTTTTAGTATGTGAATAAAATCTATCAAAACATATACAAGATACAAATGAAATGTTTAACAAAATGGGGGAAAGCATACTTTTGTTACTTGGCAATCAATTCATATTTGTATTATCTGATGAAATCATTGTAGTTTTATGTAACTTCTGTTGCTTTGTTAGTGAAAACAAGGTTTATATTTCCACAGGTACAGTAAATGTTTTAATTCCTTGGGTAAAAGAGATTCTAGAATCAAAACACATAATTGTATGAATTAATTACTGAGGCATAGCATGTTATTTATTCTTAAAGAAATTTACAGTTAAGACCTTCATTAATAAAAAGGTATTTACTACTACATAATTGTTTTTTGAGACAAGGTCTATGTAGTCCTGGTTGTAGCTAGAGTTTTCCTGCCTGGCCCACAGTCAGGACAAATCTCTGACACACGCCAGTCCCACAGCCACTCAGACCCAACCAAGTAAACACAGAGACTTATATTGGTTACAAACTATATGGCCATGGCAGGCTTCTTGCTAACTGTTCTTATATCTTAAATTAATCCATTTCTATAAATCTATACCTTGCCACATGGCTCATGGCTTACCGGCATCTTCACATGCTGTTTGTCATCGTGGTGGCTGGCAGTGTCTCTCTGACTCAGCCTTCCACTTCCCAGCTTTATTCTCCTCCTTGTCCCGCCTATACTTCCTGCCTAGCCAATGGTCAATCAGTGTTTTATTTATTGACCAATCAGCAACACATTTGCCATACAGACCATCCCATAGCACCTGGTTGTCCTAGGGCTCACTATATAGACCAGGCAGACAGAGATCCACCTGCCTCTGCCTCCAGAGTTAAAGGCGTGCGCCACCACACCCAGATTAACATATAACTTATATTTAGTTGAAGGCACAGACTTTTTGCCATGAGACTAATATATGATATTATGTGTGTGTGTGTGTGTGTGTGTGTGTGTGTGTGTGTGTGTGTGTGTAAACATAGATAGACTTTTAAAAAATGAACTCAGCAAGGAAGGAGGTGGCAAAAGAGTTCAGTGGGAACTGAGTAAACACCTGTAAGCTACTGGCTCCACACAACTTTAGTCGAAAAAACTCAAACCAAAACAAAAACCAACCTTGACTTACACATGAAAGTTTGGAAAAGGAACAATATTTCAGGGCATTATAATGAGATGTTGCCTACCATAGACAATTATGGCAGGAAAGAACTAATTGCTCATTTAATTGAACCGGAAAAAAACTTAAAGGGAAATGTTAACAAGATTTCATGTACATATTTACACCCCAGTGCCATCAGGTCTTCAAAGCTGGAAAGCTGAGATTGTCAGGTCTCAGCGTTTAGCCTATCAGATGCATGCATTACCCACGTACTCCACAAGGCCATGCTGCTTCTTAGAATGCTGGAATGTTTTATGTTACTCTGTGTGGTTCCCTGTCCTGTTCCAGGAGCTGCAGACATTTCTCACAATTCTGTCATCATATGAGAGGGATGCGAAATGCACAGGGCAAGATAAAGGTGAAAACTTGTATTCTATTGTATTATCAAACAAAGAATATATAACTATAAAAATGAAAGATACCATATTAGAGTTAAGGCTGATGTGCCACCTCTGTGGATCCTAACAACCGTGATGCACCCTTGGCCCTCAGGCTTAATTCTGGCAAACATTTTCATCTTACCAAACAAACACAGTAGGTAGGTAACTCTGGCACAACTGGGATTTATCTGGAGCTAAAAAAATAGCAACATATGTATACTTTAACAATACTTAAGGGTTATAATGTACTTCTATAATATGCCTTTATATTATATAGAATAATATACATTTGAAAAGTGTTTTAGTCTTAGTTTTGTTCTTCAAATGTGCTTAAAAAAATAAAGCAAATATTCCTGGAAAAGAACTTAAACATATTTATATAAGTAGAAATAGTTCAATGTACCAAGCATTCAAAAATGCATTTATGAAATAGTAAAACCCCAAAATACACTATAGTACACAAGAGTACCATCTGGCCATCCTTTCCCTCACATCTAGAATCCACTTATGAGTGGGTACATACTATGTTTGTCCTTCTGAGTCTGGGTTACCTCACTCAAGATGATATTTTCTAGTTCCATCCATTTGCCTGCAAATTTCATGATATCATTGTTTTTTACTGCTGAGTAGTACTCCATTGTGTATATGTGCCACATTTTCTTTATCCATTCTTCAGTTGAGGGGCATCTAGGTTGTTTCCAGGTTTTGGCTAGGGGGCACCCAGGCAGGGGGATCGGGATCTGTCCCTGGTCTATGGACAGGCTTCTGGGAATCCGGTGCCTGTGGTGTGACGCCTTGCACAGCCTTGGTGCAGTGGGAAGGGGCTTGGACCTGCCTAGGCTCAGTGTGCTGGGCTCTGCTGACTCCCCATGGGAGACCTCAATTTGGGGGATGTGGGGTGGCTTGGGAGAGAGAGCTGGGGGGTGGGAGGAGGAAGGAGGGGGGATCTGTGGATGGTATGTGGAGTGAGTAGAAAATTTCTTAATAAAGAAAAATGAAAAAAAAAAAAAGAAGAGTACCATCAACCCCCCCCCCCCCCTTTCCTATATCCTGGGAAAAAGCTGGTGACCTTGAGTTTTCATTTTGTAAGTTAGAAAAAGGGATCATTCCCATATTTACTAAATTAAAAGTTTTATTGTTCAATGCCTATGCTTTGAAGTCACTAGGTTTCCCCAGGTACTTCAAGGGAATCAGCAATTACAGACCGGGCCCCAGCTCCAAGACTGGAGCGTCGCAATGACAGCTCCAAAGCAGAAATCTGACGTAATTCTCTGCGACACAGTTTGACAGGCTTGAGACCCTGAAGCTGCCCTGTATTTCCCACAGGATGAAATTGGGAGGGTGGTGGACTCTGAGGTTGTATGAAGGGATGGTCCTCTGGTTTATCGGCATTGGTCAACAGTTGGCCACTGGAGGGTGCTAAGGAGCCGTGGACTGGAAGTGAGTCTGGGCTACCTTCCAGAGTCTGCACTGGCAATGGTTCGGTTTTTAAGCTACTTGAAGAATTGTCTACTTCTCTTTCTCTTCCATTCAATTTCGTATTTTCAGTTCTAGATGCCCATTTTAGTTCTTCAGAAAGCACAGTTGCCTCTTCTGGATTCAGGACTCCATCTCCAGCATCATGGTCTAAGGAGAATCCACACAAAACAAAAGCAAACATCTCAAAACCAGGTACTAACTACAGCATTATGATTGAACATACACAGTGTTTTCAGACTTTTGCTTAATGACTTCCTCAAATAGATGTGTGACTAAGAATCAATCTTGATTCACTTATAAACTTCTTGAAATGTGAATAACAGATTTTTCTTTAACTCACTTAAGTTGAAAAATCATGTAGTGATTTGATTTTGGTACTCTCTAGAAACCTGAGTACTTGGTGTGTCTCTGAAATCTTTTAAACAATAGTTATTAATTTTTAAAGTTTAATTTAATGCAATTCACTGTTTTAGTTTGTGTGTATGGTGTTTGCCTGCATGTGTGTCTGCACACCCAGTGCTTATGTATGATGCCTGCGGAGAGCAAAAGAGGGTATCAGATGCTTTGGGACCAGAGCTGGAATCTACTGTGAGCTGCCATGTGGGTACTGGGAACCAAACCTGCATTCTCTGAAAGAGCAGCCAGTGCTTTTAGCCGCTAAGCCACCTCTCTAGCCTGAAGAGTTATCTATTTTTATGTATATGAGTGCTTTGCTTGCATGTATGTATGGGTATTATATGTGTGCAGTGCCTGAGGAGGCGAGAAGAGGTTGTCAGGTCTCCTGAAGTTGGACTTAACAGGCGTCATGAACCACCTGACATGGGTGCCAGGAACTGAACTTTGGGTCCTCTGCAAGACCAGTGAGCCATCTCTCCATTTTTGGGTTTTTTTTTTTTTGGTTTTTTTTTTTTTTTTTTTTTTTGGTTTTTTTCGAGACAGGGTTTCTCTGTGTAGCTTTGCGCCTTTCCTGGAACTCACTTGGTAGCCCAGGCTGGCCTCGAACTCACAGAGATCCGCCTGGCTCTGCCTCCCGAGTGCTGGGATTAAAGACGTGCGCCACCACCGCCCGGCCATCTCTCCATTTTGACATCTCTCTTCGCTTGGCTTGTTACTGGTTAATTCCAAGTCCGGGTCAAGTTAAGCTTGCTCTGCCCTTACCTCCAGGCACTCATCCTCACATACATGTATGAAAACCTGGTCTTGGCTGGCCCCTAGCATGATAGCAATATTCTGTTATCCATCTGTAGTCTGTGATATGTACCACAACTTCTGCTACCAGAATGGAGGTCAGGGCATACACCTTTGGTGAGTACAGCCCCCTTCAGTGAATGATTAAGAGTGACTGGAGAGTTAAAACCTCAGAAGTCTTCAATTATAACATATCTAATATAAAATCCTGCCTATGGTTTATCACATAGTTAGTAGTGATAAAACAGTTACCAACTTTAACACGTGATGTCAAATATTTAGTACACTTTCTAGTCCGGTGAAGTCCAAATGTAAACACAGGTTGTGCCCTGGCAGCACTCAAGCCCACACAGGTTTCATTTACCTTCTCCCTCTACCTGGAGCTTGCCTTTAAACTGACCCACATTATCAAGGGAGCAAACTGACTGTTTGCTGTAAGTTGTCTCTCTGACCCCTCACCCCTGCCCACACGCTCACACACATAAATGCACACACAATAAATAAAGGAAAGAAACCCAGTGGGCGTGTCTGGGTCTTGGCTTCACAGATCTTTGTCTCATGTACGACTGCTCAGAGAGCTGGCTCCGTCGGCAGACACTGACAGGCAGGAGTGGTAAAGCTCACTGGTGACTAGAAAGCTCGCACAGCCAACTTCAGGAGCCACTGCTTAGTGTCAGCTTTGTGTCTGTCCTACCTCCGTGTGAAGACTGTGCCAGCACCTAGTCCATTCTTTCTGGTTTGGAGGGATTGAAAAAGCTTCACAATAAGTTCTGCTTGGTTTCCCTAGTACCAGAGATCAAGCTCAAAGTTTACAAAGTCAGTTGTTTTAAACCCTGAATTATAAACTAGAATATGGTTGGCTAATATCTTCTTTAGTCATAGAAATTATTTTTAAAAATCAGCTAAAGTGTTTCTTCTATAAACTTCCTAACTTTTAAATCTGGGGTCAAGTTATTTCAGAAATATTGATTGCCCTCCTATTTTGAGGTCTTATAAAAAGGAATAATATATTACTTTCCAGGAGCTTCTGACTTTTGCAGAGTACTTTGTCATGGTAACTATTCTATTATGAAGGGACTAATTTTACATATGTACATTTAATGATTATACAAGGAAATATCTTTGAATTTGGTCATGTTTTTAAATTTCTGGAGGGCACACCTTAGGACTGACCTTACTTTCACTTGTACTATTCTACTTTGAACAATTTTTTTAAAGTCTTGTTTTAAAAGATTCATTTATTTATTATGTGTTTGCATGTATGTTTATGTGAGGCCAGAGGATTTCAGACCCTCTGGAGATGGAGTTACAGGTGGCTGTGAGCCGCCATGAAGGTCCTAGGTCTATGGCAAGAACGGCCAGTTCTCCTAACCACTGCATCTCCTTTGTACAGTGTTTATGGTACTCAGAAGGCTTACTTTCTTATAACATAGGAAAGTAAGAGTTAAATGATAGGGCCGCCCTAAGGGCTAAAGGTCAAGGATAGCAAAAGCTACTCTCACACAACAGGAAATCAGTAAAAATAATCATTCCTACAGTTTATGTATTACTTAGCATAGCTTATATATTTAAGTTTTACACATTTTTAATGTTTGAAATCAAGTACATCCCTTAATGGTTAATAAGAGAATGTTAACAAGTCTGTAGCTACTGTTCATATTGATAAACTCCAGGGCAGGTTTACGAGTCTGCGCTAAGGCTAACCTTAAGAGTGTATACTTGCTGAGCATGGGTGAGGTACAACACTCCCAGTTCAAGAGGGAAGAGGTTCAATTCATTAATTCACCACACAATGAAGAACTAAGTGCAGCCTTTATACTACCACAAGATATGATTTGAGACAACCTTTATTTGGAGTTAATATATTCTTCTGAAACAATATTTTGGGCATATTATACTTTCATTTTCAAATTTGATTAATATTTTCCATAATGAATAAAGCCTTGCCCATAAGAAAAAAAGTGATCACCAGGGGGTGATGGTGATGGTGGTGGTGGTGGTAGTGGTGGTGCACTTCTTTAATCCCAACACTGAGGAGGCAGAGGAAGGTGGATCTCTGTGAGTTCGAGGCCAGCCTGGTCAACAGAGTGAGTTCCAGGACAGCTAGGGTTATACAGAGAGACCCTGTCTCAAAAAACAAAACAAAACAAAACAAAAAACAAAAAGAAAAGAAAAACATGACCATTATCTACACACATACACGTGCTCATGTTCCCAGTACTCCCCATGGGGTCTGTCTTATATACAAACTGAGGAAACACTGTTTGTCTACAGAGACAAATTCAGCACCTCCCCTAAACAACCTTGTCACTTGGGAAGGGCTCACTGTGTGTCAGGCGGGGCCTCAGCGGATGTTTGGGAAGGGGAGGCAGGGCTAACATGGCAGGTGGCACTCAAAGCCTTACGCTCTGCTAATGAGGGCTGCCACGGGGATGCTCCTCCTTGGGCAGTCTCTTTCAGTTTCTTCTTAAGATCTCTGCTGGTTCTCTTATAGAAGTAAAGATCTTTTTCCAGTTGCTGGATTTTATCTTCATATTTTTTTAAGGTTTCTATAATGCCTTCTCCATCTTGCTCTACAAAGCAAAAATTTACATTTAATCTCGGCTTTAAACAAATGATTCAAAATTATAGTTTAGCATAGCTCCAGACTGACTTTAAAGGGTCAGAAGTATGTTATACATATCTGTTACCTGAAGGGATTTGTTCAGCCACAATATGGATTCTTTTGGCTATAAAACTTTTTTCAAAGAATGGATCCCTTCATTTCCTTCTCTACCTACTCTCTTCCTGGTACTTCCTGCTCACAACTCAGCATTTTTTGCCATTACTACTAACAAACCTTATCAAATGGGCATTCCTCTTAAAAACAACTCAAAAGTGTAGAACTCTACCAATCATCTGTGTTAATATATTATTTCAAGCTTGCATTTGGGACTGTGGATATATGGCAAGTTATATGCCTGGGTTTATAGGCCCAAGAAATATTAAGTTAAAAAAAACCACAAAAAAGTAATAAAGCTGTTAATAATGAGCCTAGAAAGATTAAATAACAAGGAAAAAACACTGCAGAATGGGGGGTGGGGAGCTTTGGTTGTTGTTCCAGGTAACTTAAGACTTCTAGTTAATATTGTGAATGTGTACCATGGTTCTATAATGATAAAATCCAGTTTTCTGACCTTCAGAAAATACACTTTCAGAGCTATGCCCTTCTTCGTACAGCACATATAAAAATGTAACTCTATTGGTATTCAATCTTCTTTTGCCATCCTTCTATCTTATTTAACCCATCATCTAGCTTTAAAAATTACTTCAAACCAGTAGCATTCCAAATGGTAGAATGCATGACTAATGTGCAAGGCCCCAGGTCTGGTCTTCAGCACCAAAACCAAAAAGGCCAACCAACCAAAAGCCACATAGCCTATCAGCTTTATTTCCCATACAAATACAGTTGAAATTAGAAAATTCTCAAATTGTTAGTAATTTTAATTATAGCTATTGTGTATAATCTGCATGTATAACCATAGGAACAATTGGGTTTTTATTGATTTTTTTGAGACACAGTGTCATGAGAATAAGAGGTGCTGGGAACGGAACCCAAGGCTTCCCCATGATCTGTAGGTGCTCCACCAACTGAGCTGGGACTCATGCTGTGCAATCCTAGCCATCTCAAAAACAAGGAATTCGATTCAATTATCACTTTAGAGTTGTTAAACAGAACTACAGAAGGAACAGGACATATTTGAATGCAGTGGTATGAGGGATCCTGCCAAGGGAAATCCTGTTCGTTAGGCAGTTACATTAACATTGTAAAATTAGCTCACTGTCATTTCCTCAAGACCCAAATTTATGTTTTCCAATTTTCTGCTTCTTTCAAATCCCTTCCACCCACTGCAGCTCTGTATTCAGGAACCTCAGGGCTACGCAGCCTGAACGAGAGCTGAAGGAGACTCAGCGGGCAAGACTGTGTTGCCACAGCATCTGTTTGGATACCAGCCATGTGCTCAGGTAACGTGAGGCCAGACTGTGTGATAGCTTTCTCTTTCTTGTTGAACTGCTGCTGGTCATTAATAATATTATAGTATTACGTATCCATCAATTTTGACCTATGATATACTCGGCTAAAATTATAACAAGAAAAGTAACTAGGAATGACAACAGAACCTATCACTCATCTGTACATGAAAAAGCCACAAGTTGTCTTACATTTCCACACAGGAGGCAGACTAACAAACCAACAGGATGAGAGGAGGTTCTGAGTGCCTGGGAGCAGGTACAAAGCGTGGTAGCCCCACACGTGAAGGTCCAGACTGTCTGTAAGGAGTAGCTATGTACACACACTGGAGACTCATTCTGGCCAGGCTTCCCTCCTCGGCACTCCCCACCTCAGCCGACACCCAAGGGGTTACCTCTGAAATGATGTAACAACAGCTGCATCTTTTGTTCGTGTTCCTTTTGCTGGAGGGTCAGTCTTCGGTCACACTGCAGTCTCAGATGCTCCAGTGCAGACTCTAACTCATGGACCATGTTATCCAGTTCCAGAACCTTCACTTTCATCTCCTTATTCTGCAACTGTTGTTTGCGTTCAGTTTCTCGCAAATTAATCACCTATCAAAGACAGTTTTTGGCCTTTTAAGTGTATCTTACATAGCCTAATACAAAAATCAGTCCAGTTTTCTTGGATTACTCAACCTCAGTAACATCTTCAGTGCCTTTGAAAAGGGGTTGGATGCCTCGGCAAATGCTTTAAAACATAACTATAAAATGGTCTAACAACCTTTTGAATTTGTTGGAATTTTGAATTGGTAATATTTTCATTTTCAATACAATAGTGCACTAATAGTTACCACTCTAAAACTTCTTAGATAAGATCACTGAGTTCAGATTTTATGATTCTCTTTCTTGCTTGCTTTTTCTTTCAGAGACAAGGTTTTTACTATATACCCTTGGCTTTGAACTTGCCTCCTAAGTGCTAGGAATGTACAGACATGTGCCACCATGCCTGGCTATAACTGTTTCTCTAGTCCACAAGGATACTGGAGTATGCTTTTATTCTTGCAACATTTACTCTGTCTAAGTAGAAGAGCATTCTGACATCGACACAGAGGTTCCTCTTGAGACCATGTGTGTGTCTGTTGAGGTCTGCTGTGCGGTAGGAAGCAGAGCAGTGTGGACAGTGTCTGTGCAGTAGAACCCACAGGAATCTCCAATGACCTCACTAAAACAGCACCTACTTCTACACAGTGGCCTTGGGCTAGGAGCCCTCAGGATGCAATCAGAGACTCTATCTCCAAGCCTAGGCCACATGCCAACAAAATACAGTCTCATCAGTAACAGCTACTGATTACTGACTGATACACAAGCCTCAGATTTTCTTTTTTTTTTGAGACAAGATCTCACTATGTAGCTCTGGCTTTCCTGCATGCAACTCATTATGTAAACCAGGCTGGCCTCTAACAGAGATCCACCTGCCTCTGCCTCTCTAGTGCTGGGATTAAAGGTGGTGTATTACTATGCTGAACTTTTCATTCACTTTATTTCACACAAATAGACCTTGAAAAAGTCTTTGTCTAACTTTGTATCAACTGTTGGATACTCTCATTAATTCAATATATTTTTAGGGAAAAGCCATTCTTCATGATATATCTTTTAAGTGAAAAAATATTAGGGAAAATGTGAACATAGTTCTCAATGACACAGACTATGTCCATCAGTGAACTGCCGATTTTTGTAAGATGATCAGATGAAGCACATTCAGACTAATAATGCCTGCCACTGCCACTGCCACTGCCACCGCGCACCACTTCATCTCCACCAGCTCCACATCATGATGGGAAATGCACAGTGTAGTCTACCCACAGCAACGGAGGAAGGAAAACTCGCAGGGCCCTAGACTTTTCATGAACAGCATTTAAATTTAGAATCAAGGAATAATAAGGAAGGCTATAAATTAAAGTTATATCACCAAATCTTTCAATCTTTTACTTTCTTTAAATGTTTGATATAAATAAGGGTACCTTGACCATTTCTTGTAAGGAAAGTGTTGTTCCTTGGAAACATACCTTATTGAAATATTTGAAAAGAATAGCTCTAATCTCAGTAAGATTTAGGCAAACTAGTTTCCCCACGACATTAGCTTCACTCTGAGAGAGATTTTGGAATGATGCTCTAAGTGAGTTCTGGCGACTCTGGATGCTTTCGTTCTCGAATTCAATTGCAGCTTCCAAGGCTTCTATTCCTTCTTCAAGTTGGAAAAGAAGATGTTCTTCCTAGAGACCACAGAGAGCATTCATCTTAAGAAAAGGTATAACCTGAATTCTGTCATATGCTTAGCTCAGATCTTACCATGTGATGAAACCTCCGTCTAAAGGACTATCCCCTTAGACTCTCACTGATGTTAAGGATCCATTCAGTGTTTGCGATTTGGCTAAGCTGTATGATGTATCACCTGTCATTGTACAATGCAGAATCATCAAGTCTTCACCATAAACATTGCATAACAAAATGGAAGATGTAAAAGCTAAGTGAGTTCCACAATGTTCCAAGGCTATGCAGCAAACACTGATTACCTAATCCAAAGGATACACCTGAACCTGGCCTCAGCTCACAGAAGTTGTAATACTGTCATCTCCTTCCAATATTCCTAAAGTGCATTTAAGTGTAGACTCTCCACTAAGGAGACCTGGTGGATCTGTTGCACCTCCAAAGAGTGCGAGGGCAAAGGGAAGGGACACTTGCGCTTGGAACCAGCAACTGAGAACAGTGATCAGAAGAGTCTCTGGAGGAAATGCAGCATAGGGGACAGAAGCAGTCAGACCCGACCAACTGGAACATTTCATTCCTATGAAATGGACCAGCCACAGAAGCCTGTGCCTAAAATTCCAGTACTTGGAAGGCTAAGGCAAGAGTTCAAGGGCTGCATAACAAGACCCTATTTTAACCCCCTTCAGAAAAAAAAAAGATTCCTATGAAGTGTGGTGATATACTGACTGTGTACTCTAATAAAATTTACCTGAAAACCAGAGGACAGAACATGCCACTAGATTAAACATAGAAGCCAGGCAGTGGTGGCACACATCTTTAATCCCAGTACTGGGAAGCACACATGCTTTTAATCCCAGGAAGTGATATGGCTGGGTGGAGAAAGGTATATAAGGTGTGAGGAGACAGGAACTAAAGGCTTTTCAGCTGAGGAACCCCTTTCAGCTAGAAGACTTTTCAGGCTGAGGAGTTGGTGAGGTAAGAGGTGGTGGCTGTGGCTTGTTCCTTTGTCTCTCTGATCTTTCAGCATTTACCCCAATATCTGGTACAGGGTTTTTTAACTGAAAGACCATTTAGCAGTTCATGTTACAATGAACTGTTATTTTAAATGGTGGCACTATAACATCAGTTAATATACCATTTGTGTCAGAAGACAAAACAGTCCTTCGAGTTGTCCAAATTCATGCTATCTGGGAGAAAGCAGGGGAAACCCAGACCCCTGGCAACGGAGACATGGCTGTATCTCGGTACTCCTATGTCTGCGCTGAGGTCACCTAAAGCAGGCTTCTCCAGGAAGACTACCTGACCCATACTCACATCCTTGCTGCTAAGCACAGTATTTATCACATAATTTAAACTTACTATTTGTTGAATGTGTTAATGAAAATTTAAAAAAATATTTCCATTTCCTCACCACTCCTAAGAGTTATTAGTGACTCCCAGACCTCCTTTTTTTTTCCAGCTCAAGAATCAGATAATGACTTCACCTAGCAGGAAGTCAAATATTTACTTTAAAAAGCCATCTTATAAAATCTTCTGGAAGAGCAATTTGGGGAAAACATTCAATTGCCATTTCTCTGTGCAGTAACTAACCATCCTTTGCTTATATGATAATTGTTCCAAAATAAACAAAATAATCATATTTTGAAAGATTAATTTTTATGGTTTTTAAATTATGTATATTGTGTATTGTCTGGCATGTGAGTGCAGGTGCCCTGCAGAATCTAGAAGAGGATATTGTCTGTCTTGGAGCTGGAGTTACAGGTGGCTGTGAGCTGCTCAGTGTGGGTGCTGGGAACTGAACCCAGGTCCTAGTCACCGAAGGCATGTTTTCAGCCCCAACAATCACATTTTTAAAAGGAAAAAAACACCTTAAATACTTTTGAAAGGTACATAAGTGAATGAATAAAAGGAACCTAGAAAAAGAAGTGAGTTATCTAAAGAGAATACATCTGACTTTTCAATTGATACTCAGATTATATTTTATCAAAAATAAAAGTTTGCTGAGATCTATTTAGTATCATTTTAGTTTCCATAGTTTTGGATGTAAGTCAAGGAACTGCTAGGAAATATGAGGTCTTATAACTATAGCACCCTGAGGACTGTCCACTCCAAATAACTGTGCACATGGGCCAGTGCCATGGCTCAGTGGGCAAAGGCTTTGCTGCCAAGCCTGACTACCTGAGTTTGTACTCTGGAATCCACATGTCAGAAATAAAGAACCAACTCCCTAGCTGTCCACTGACCTCCATACATGTGCTACAGCATACAAGCATGTGCATGCATACACATGTAAGTGTACATGTACACACACACACACACACACACACACCACAATGAAATTATAAGAGTGAAAAGGTAGAAATATGATGAAGCACGCCACGTGGCTTTGGGTCCCTCTAACTCAAGGTAAGTGGCCATGGGGAACTGTCACTGCACATTACCATTACTTAGAACTAAAGATACTGATAAAGATCTGAGACAACCAGTCCAGGTGAGTCCTAGAGATCTACTTTTCTAATAGCTTCCTAGAGAACAAGGCCTACAGCACTGGTCTCTAAATGTTTTAGACCACACATTCCTTTCAATAAGGAAGTGAAACAAAAGACTAACAAACGCTCCCTCACAAGTATTGTGTTATATGTACATTTTGGATGAGTGAATAATCATAAGAGAAGGAACTAAGGTCGGAAAGGCAGACTAGACATAAAGGTTATTCTGTTTCCTTCCCTGTACACCACTTATTAGAGAGCAGCTCTGCAGCGTTGAGTCTGCAGCAACATGGACAGAAGTGGAAAGCATTATGTCATAAAATGAGCCTCGTCAGGAAAAGGAAGACAAAGCATTTCCAACCCACCTGAGCAGGATAAAAAACTGACAACCAAAACACTAAAAACACTAAAAGCGGGGAGCAGGAGAGCGGTCAGCGGAGACTGCTAAGTGAGGAGGACAGTGAGGGGTTAACAGGAACCCCAACACAGTCGGAGAGGCAGATCTAGTTCTCGTTCCACAGCAGAGGAGGTATCCCAGTTAGACACAGCTAGTTACTTGAGAAGGGCATCTCAACTGCGGGGTTTCCCAGGTCAGACTGACCTGTGGATAGATCTGTGTGGAACTGTCTTGACTGCTGATTGATACAGGAAGACCCAGCTGACTGCTGTTCTGGGATGTATACAAAAGGGAGCTCAGCATGAGCCAGAAGCATGCCAACAAGCAATGTTCCTCCATGGTTTCTGTTTCAAGTTCTTGCTCACGTTCCTGCCTTGACTTCCCTCAGTGAAGGACTGTGACCTGAGAGCTGAAATAAACCTTTTCCTTCCCTGAGTTGCCTTCAGTCAGAGTATATTATCACAGCAACAGAAAGGGAACTAGAACAAAAATTGGTAGTAGAGAAGTGGGCTGTTGCTATGATCAACCTGACCACACTGTTTTGAGAAGAATGTAGAAGACCTTAAACTGTGGGCTAAAAAAGCTGTTGGCTACTCAGAGCTTAATAAAAACATACAGTGGGCAAGGAAGACAGGGATGCTGAGAGAAATGCAGATGGTGGGGCCTGGATATGGGTCAGAGAGAAGCAAAGACTCTAGTAAGCCCTGGGAGGGGGCCATTGTAAGACACGGAGTAAGAATGTCTGATCAGCTGGGGCTGAGAACCTGCTATGACTAACAAGAGGTCACACCACTGAAGGAAGTATGTTCCCCGGAAGCGGCAGGAAGTATCTGCTCAGGGTCAGCACACAGTCTCAAATTGGCAGCCAAACTTGGCAATTTACAAAAGTTCCCACAAAGTACTGGTTTGGAAAGCATGAGAGATGCAAGATTGCAGGAATCATAGAGAGTGGGTGACGTCTGGTGCCATGTGGCAGGGACAAAAAGTCCCTGAAGAAAGGCCAACAGAGCCCATCAGTGAAGGTGTACCCTCAGTTGTAGTGGATGTCTGCCAAGGACAATGGCAGGGGCACAGCTGAGCAGGCACAAGCCTGCCGGGCGCACTGTGTGTGCTGTGGATGGCAGACATGATGCAATGAGATTACTGTTCAAGCCTTTGGGAGCTGGAAATGGCAGTGAGTGAGCCCCAGGGGCAGATGTGAGCTACAGGATCTAGATTTACATTGCTAATTGTTTATATGCCCTAGTTCTCTCCTTCTGGGGTAAGACAGTGTGTAACTTTGTTCCGCAGAAGTCCATAGTTAAAAGACTTTGGACTTTGTATTTTAGTTTTAATTTATACGCATGTACATGTCTGTGTGTGTATGCCACATGTGTGCAGGTGCTCAGAGTCCAGAAGATGACACAAGTTCCCCTGGAGCTGGAGTTACAAGTTGTTATGAGCCACTTGAAATGGTTGCTGGGAACTGAACCCCAGTCCTCTGGAAGAGCAGCAGGTGCTCTTACCACTGAGCCATCTCTCCAGTCCTAAGAGACTTTTAACTTCTGGGATCTTTTGGGGGTGGGAGCAGGGTTCAAGAAAGGGTTTCTTTGTGTAGGCATGGCTGGCCTGGAATTCACAGAGATGTGCCTGCCTCTGCCTCCCAAGTGCTAGATTAAAGGCGTGCACCACCACTGCCCAGCCTCAAATATATCATTTTTAATTTTTGGATTTCATCAAAAAATGGAAGTGTTCTGTTTTCAGTGAATTGTTGGGCAATTTGCTACTAAAATGATCTAAAGTCTATCACTTCTTGTAAATAATATAATTAGAAAAATAATTACTGTAAAAAGAGAAAATAAATTTAAGCAAGTTTAAAGACATCAAGATAGCAAGCTATTCCACACCTATTCGTGTCTTGGGTCACTTTAGAATCTCCTTCCATTAATTTGCTACTGGCAGACTTATTGAGAATATTAATCTTGGCTTTAAAACACGGTAGTGAAATCAGAGTATACTTCAAAACTACACTAAAGAAAGCCAAAGGGAAGCTTACAAGGCCAAATGGAACATACAACTGTGTTCCACCTGGATGGTATTGTTCAGAGAGTGTTGTCAATGTTATCTGCCACAGAACTCCACACTAAACAGAAGCCATTCTCTGTGAGACCCACCTCACCATGTAGTTGGCCTAGACCTTGCCTTGAATTTGCAGCCGTCTGTCCACCTCAGTCTCCCTAGTGCTAGGGTACCGGTGTACACTACCACGGCTTCACTGTTCACTAATAATGGGCTTCTGCCCTCTGCTAATGGTTTCCTCACTCTTCTGTCTGCTCTACCTAGCAATGTCCTATCAAAATCCAACTTATGATTGCAATCCACCATGGCAGCATTGACACGGCTTCCCAGATGACCTCTCTGCACTATTTGTGCAGATAATGTAGTAAGTATAGCTTTCCTACATTACTCGGCATTGTCTTTTTCATGTTCTTTTGGGATTCTGTTTTCTTGTATTTCTGTCTTCCCAGTTGGAATACAAACTCTCAAGAGAAACATAACTTAGCCGTTGTTTGTGTCTTTGTGTCTCTCAGCAAGCATGGCTTATAGTACCAAACAGATGCCAGGTGAACTCATTAGCTGACACAGTCTTGAAATGGTTTATCAGCTTTATGATCATTGGGATAAGAGTCCAAGGAATCACTCACATCACCCATCATACAACAACTCCAGTTCCAAAGAATACTGACTCACTTTGGGGGACAGCACTCTGCCATTCTGAAGCTTTTCGTCCATGAGGCTTCTCTGTCTCTGCAGCTGACCCTTCTCTCTTTGGAGAGCCTGCACCTGTTCTGCAATCTTGACTTTCTCCTCAGCTGTGCTGCTCTCAAGTTGCGAGCTTTTTTCTGACAACTCTTGGTCCAACAAGTTCAGGCGAGTTGATATTTTCAGACTATCTGTGCTTAAGTCCTAACGGACACAACCATCAGATAGAAAGAGAGTTAACAAGAAATTCAGACAGCTTAGGACAGGAAAAACATCATTACGATACTAAATGATTTTATTTTTATCTTTTATTTTCTTCCATAAACTTTCTAAAATCTTAAGTTTAATGGTTCTTAAAAAATATATAGGTTTGCCGGGTGTTGGTGGCAGGTGCATCTCTGTGAGTTCAAGGCCAGACTGGTCTACAGAATGAGTTCCAGGACATATGAACTTCATATGTTCCTTTTTCCAGAACTGTTACGCAGAGAAACCTTGTCTCAAAAAACCTATCTACCTATATATTTTTCAAAATATGAAGTTATGGGGGCTAGAGAGGGGGCTTGGTGGTTAAGAGACCTGGCTGCTCTTGCAGAGGATCAGGGTTCAGTTCCCAGCATTCACATGACAGCTAACAACGTCTGTAATCCAGTTCCAGGGGATCTGGTGCCCTCTTCTGGCCTCCTTGGGAACTGCACACACATAATGCACTATACAGGCAAAACACTCAGACTCATTTTTTTAAAAAAAATCAAAGGTTTTGAGAGGCAGTATTTTTCTTTTTCTTTTATTATTTTACTCCTTAGTTCATTACATGGTAAAACTGTTACAATTTCTTAAGAGGTTAATATTTGATGTGTTCAGCATACTTTTTATTCTTATTTCATTATGGTCAGAAAATATAAGAATCTGGTCAAGTTTATGAAGCTGTCCATTAGAACTTAAAACAATGTGTAAAGATATTATATTATATACTTCCATATGGTTTCTAACATACATATAGACTATCATAAAGTTTATCATATCATAATAGAAAGCAGAACCTTTCCTAAAATAAGTCTCCTTAACTCCTTCTAGTTGGTTCTTCTAATAGTTTGCCCACCTGTCTAAACAACCCACTGTAGACACTGTCTGTCTACTACAGGAGCGAGAACTTAGCACTCACACCCTTCTCTGTGTACATCCCTCCTCTGTTTTCCCACTGTAAGTTAGATTAGAGCTTTTGGTTAAATCGATACTCACTTACCTCATTAGGAACTTGTGACTATTACCCATAGCTGATATATCTGTAAAACATGGTCAACTTCCACTAAATACATCTTTTTTTATATACCTTGTAACTAACTCTTCTACAAGACTGTAAAATCTCATACTTTCATTTAATCAACGTTGTCAAGAAATGTATTCAATAATCTCTTTATTTTACATGTGTTTGTTTTTTCTTCTCCCGTGTGAGCCCTGGGGTCACACTGCATTTGGTGACCACACCCTTACCCACTGAGCCATCTCAGCAATTCTTTTCTTGCATGACCATGCTGAGTGATGTCTTCTGTCATGTTCCTTTTTCATATGTGAAGTGCGGTTGTTTGACAGGAAACACTCTATACTAATTAGGAATCTGGACTAGGAAGAGGATTTTTAGTTGAACATTTTCCTCATGAATCTGAAGACTGCTTCAAATCTTTTAAGTGGAGAAAATGGCTCCTGAGATTGACAAGTGACTGGTTTTTTCAAGTTGGAGTATCAAAGATTTGTTTTCCTCTGGTCACCTAAACCCTTCACAAGGCTTTTGTGTTGGGTCCTTGATGGGCTTTTTCAGTCTAGAATCTTATGTCGGGAAACTTTTCTTTTTAAGATTGATTTTTTTTAGATGAATGTTTTGCCTGCATGTATGTATCTGCGCTGTCTTAGGGTTTCTGTTGCTGTGAAGAGACACCATGACCATGGCACCTCTTATAAAGGAAAACATTTCTTTGAGGTGGCAGTTTACAGTTTCAGAGGTTTTGACAATTATCATCATGGAGGGGAGCATGCCAGCTGGGAGTATGGCAGCATGCAGCCAGCCATGGTGCTGGACAATTCTACATCTTGATCCAAAGGCAACTGGAAGTGAACTGGGAAAATTAGTAGATTGAGCAAAGGAGACCTCAAAGCCCACCCCTACAGTGACACACTTCCTCCAAAAAGGCCATACCTCCTAATAGCGCCACTCTCTTTGGGGGCCATTTTCTTTCACACTACCACATGCACCATGCATGTACCTGAGATCAGAACCTAAGTGTTCCTAGAAGGGAGAAAGTGAAGGCTAATATGATGTTGAGAGCTACAGATGTCAGCTACAGATAAGGGCATAGGATCCTCTGGAACTGGAGTCACAGATGGGTTGTGAGCCACCATGTGGGTGCTGGGAAGGGAGCCTGAGTCCTCTGCAAGAGCAGCAAGGGCTCCTACCCACTGAGCCATCTCTCCATCCCAGGAGCTTTGACGTGTGTGTTTTCTCTGACTCATCTTTTTGGATTTCCTGTTACTTCAGTGCTGGGTTTCCTAGATTTATCTGAGATTTTCCCCTTTATTTTCTAGTGATTTTTCTTTAACACACTCTCAAATATTTCAACTTTTTCTGTTTGCCCTTTCAATTCCTAATAGTTCCTTCATGTCATTAATGTCCTGTACTTCCTGTCTTATGGCTACAGTATCTTTTTTTAAAACCACATTGAAGATATGAGTCTTTCCTGAAGCTTTTCCAGCTTCTTGTTCTATTCCTAGTGTCCACCAGTTCCTGTTTCCTTCAGTTGTATTGCTTGTTTTTAACACTGGTGGTATTTTTTTTCTATTTATTTATTTTTAGAAAGGGTCTTATTATGTAGGCTTGACTTGCCTGGAAGTCACTACGTAGACCAGGCTGGCCTCAAACTCATAGAGCTCCGCCTGCCTCTGCTTCTCCAGTGCTGGGACTAAAGACGTGCACCACCATGCCAGGCAATGTGGTAGCATTTACGAGTCATGTACTAGGCTGGAGAGATGGTTCAGTGCGTAAAGCACTTGCTGTGCAGGCCTGATGACCTGAATGATTTTCAGAACCGTTATAATGGCTGGGTGCACTAGCTTGTCTCTAATCTCAGTGCACCCCATAGGGAGATGGGAGATGGAGATAGGAAAATTGCCAGAAGCTTGTGGGCCAGCTAGCCTCATCTACCCACCAGTGACTAAGACAGACCTTGACTCAAATAAGCTAGAAGGCAAGACCTGATACCCAACAGGGTCCTCTGACTTCCAGATGCATGCTATGGTACCACCATCCCCACCCCCCAAAAAAACCCCACTTGCATGAGTTAGGAATTTACTAGTTCCTAAGACTGCTGGGAATGGTGGCAGTAATCCTAGCACTTCTGGGACGTGGGAGGGTGAGGCAAGAGAACCTCAAGTTCCATGCCAGCCGGAGGTCCATAGTAAGACCATGTCTCAGACAAACAAATGAACAAAAGCAAACAAGAGTAAGTGAACTGCATTTCACTAAAGCTGTTCCTTTGTTTAAAAGGTGTGTGCAGGGGAGGGGCTGAAGTTCTCCCTCAAGCCTTCATCTTTTGTCCTAAACTCTGGGTGTCACCTACTTGTCTCCATCTCACAGACAGTTTTTGAGTAATTATGTAGCTTTTGTTAAGTCCTTTCCTGGCTTTACAGCTATTCTGTTTTTGGTTTTTCTTTTTTCTTTTTTCAAGACAGGGTTTCTCTGTGTAGTTTTGGTGCCTGTCCTGGATGTCGCTCTGTAGACCAGGCTGGCCTCAAACTCACAACGATCCACCTGCCTCTGCCTCCCAAGTGCTGGGATTAAAGGTGTGTACCACCACCATGTGGCTGTTTTTGTTTTTTGGTTGTTGCTGGGGTTTTTTTTGTTTGTTTGTTTGGTTTTTTTTTTTTTTTTTTTTTTTTTTGAGACAGGGTTTCTCTGTGTAGCCCTGGCTATCCTGGAACTAGCTCTGTAGAGCAGCTTGCCTCTTCCTCCTGAGTGCTGGGAGTAAAGGCATGCACTACCACCACCCAGCCTATAGGTAGGTATTCTGAATAAGATAAAATTCAAGTATAATATAACTCATTTATTTAAAGTATGGCAAAGGGTTTTAGTATATTCAGAATTATGCAATCACTGCCACAATCCATTTTAGAATCATTTCATCACCCTTCAATAAAGACTCAGTAAGTCACTCCATTTTTTCCCCAATCTCACCTCACTTCACTAGCCTAGGTGACCACCCACTATTCTACTTCCTTTGGAATCGCCTATTCAGGAAGAGTGTTACACAATACATATTGTGACTAGCTTATTTCACTTAACGTCTGTCTTCAAGGTTCACCATATGTAGCAGATATCAATGCCTCATTGCTTTCTAATACCAATACTCAATATACTACAGCCTATTGATTCATCAGCTGATAAACACTTGTAGTGTTTCTATTATTTAGCTATGATTCCATGAACCTTGAAGTTTTGACATGGGCATGTGCCTTTATTTCTCTTGAATATATACCTAAGGAATTGCTGGGTTAACAACATATCTGAATATTTAACCTTTAGAAGAACTCCAAGATGGTTAGCCGAGGTAACTGTACCATACTAATCCCACCAGTAGTAGACAAATGTTCCATTTTTCCCCACTCCCTCAGCAATACTTCTAATCTGGTTTTCTAATTATAGCCACCCCAGTGAGCGGGATCTCATTGAAGGTTTTGCTTTGTATTCATTACTTTGATGGCTAACTTATGACTGTCTTCTTATGCGATTATTGTCACTTTTCTTCTTTGGAAAAAAGTCTTTTCAGATCCTTTCTTCTTTAATTAGGTCATATTTATTTTGTTTTTGTTTTAGACAAGATTATGCTATATCCTACTTATTCCTACTATATTCCTACTTCAACAACCTCCCAAGTGCTAGGAGAGAACTAGGTTACTCTTTTATTATCAAATTTTAAATCTTTCTCAATCTCTTAGCAGATAATAAAAAATTTGCAAATACTTTCCTATATTCCGTAAACTATCTTTTTACTTTCCTGATCATGTCTTTTAAATCTCCAATATTTTTAATATGAAGTCCAATTTATTTGTTTTTTCTTTTCCTGCTGTGTTTTAGGTGCAATATCCAAGAAATCACTACTCAAAAGTCACAAAGCAGGCCAGAGAGATGAGTCAGAAGTTAAGAGCACTTACTGCTCTCACAGAGGACCCAGGTTTGGTTCCCAGCACCCATATTAGGTGGCTCACAACCACCTGTGACTTCAACGCCAGGGATCCAACACTCTCTTCTGGCCTCCGTGGGCACATACATAGATGTAGACACATGCATATAAATAAAAATAAATCTTAAAAAATTACATTATAAAATGGTTGCAGTCCAGACTGTGTGTTCTTCTAATAGTGTTATAATTTTAGCTCTTATTTGCAGGTCAGTGACGTATTTTAATTTTTTTGTTTCTTTTGTGGCAGGGTATTCTTGTGTAGCCCAGGTTAGCCTTAAACATGATATGTAGCCCAAATGGGCCCAGAGCTTCTAATCATCTTACCTTACCTCAGGAATGCTAGATTTACAGGTACTAACATCATGCTTGGCTTGAGTTAACTGTATGCAATGCATTTTTCTTTCTGTCATTTTAGATAAGTATTCAGCCTACCATGGTCCTTATCTGAAATGCATATCATCAAAGTCTTGTAAATATTCCTCAAACACTAGAAAAAATGAAATCTTTTAATGCCTTTTTTACTGAAAAGAATCAAGTGGGATAATAGTCTCAAGTCTGTTAAAATTTTCAAAGTATTAAGGTGGTTTTCACTCATTTATACTTCCTATTTATCTCAGTTTGTTCTTGCTTCTTAAAATTCCATCTCTCAAGGATGGAGAGATGCGCAGTGGTTAACACCATGTGCCGTTCTTGTAGAAGCCCCATGTTTGGTTCTGAACACCCTTAAGAGGTGGCCCACAACCACCTGTAACTCTAGCTACACCCTTTTCTTCAGGACACGTGCACATACTCCTCAGACAGATAGATATATGCACCTAATTTTAAGAAACAAAATCTTTGTAAAAAATGATAGCTCTTTAAAATCAGAAAACAGCTGTTTTTATGCATTTTCTTTTCCCATCTCATAAAGTAAACTTTAAGAAAATATTTTACTCCACAGTCCTTTACTTTCTTCTCCCTTTTGTAAATAGGACATATCTTAAAGATCCAGGTAATTTCTTCTATCATTCCCTTGTAATTTTGATTTGTTAAGCTTTTGCTGTTATTTTACATATTTTGAGGGATAGTTTCTATAACTTGACCCTGACAGTTTAAGCAGTTAAGATATGCCATCAAGAATCATGTTTGTCAGAGCGGTCACCCAAACCCTGTATTCAATGACAACGAGACTAGAAATGGATGACAGCAGAGTCACACACAGGTCCCAGTGGAGCAATGTTAAGAACACACCATGATCAGTTTGGACTCTCCGGTCTAGATGCTTACTGACATGTGGACCACTGATCCTTTGTTCTATGACACAGGTGTGGACTCTCTCTGGACCCAATGCCAGCTCTAAGTGAAATTATCTTTTCAAATCTGACAAGTCAGTTTCATTTTTAGATGCTATTAGTGAAAATACATGCAGGTAAGTCAAGAAATAGTTCCTGCTGCTTTCACTTCCACAATCATTCCTTTCTGAAAATCTGCGACTGAGGCAAACCTGTTCATAAAACTACTTCATGACTTGGCTCCTAAGGTCTAAGTCCTGCAGGAAAAGTATTTATGACATTACTTAAGTCTTTATAATTAAACAAAACAAAACAAAACAAAACATCTAACCATCATTCTACAATCCTTTTTCTTTTTTATATGAATCTTGTAACCCTCTAATGTTGGGTGGTAGTGACATGTGGATAACATTTTCCAAATGCCCACTGTAGAATACCAGGTAGTACAATCTATTTAAAATACCCTCTGACATCACTAATGGAGGGTGACAGGGAGGAGGGAAAGAAAGTTACTGTGGAAGGTCACAGAGCTTCTATTTGGGAGAATGAAAAAGTTTTGGAAATATATAGTTGTGACAGTTCAACAACATTGTAGGTATTAATGCCACTGAATTGTAAACTCAAAAAAAATGTCTTCTAAAGTAAATTTTAAGTTGACCACGACCATAGGCACATTCCTATAAACCTAGCACCAGACACTGAGGCAGAAACTCATGGCCAGACCAGGCTACATAGGAGACACTGGTAAAGAACAAAACTAAAAGGTAAATCTTATGTTCTATATATTTTACCACCATATAAAAGTTAATAAGTCATACTTGAAGACTATTGAACATGTTACCTGAAAGCAGCAATGCTTTGATGTCAATCATTTGATAAAGTAGCAGAAGACACTGAGAATAATAATTTTTCTTTGGCTTTTAACTACAGTTTATCTTTATGTGTCTGTGTGTCCATGTATGTGAACATGTGTTTCAAGACCAGAGGTCAGCATCAGGTGTCTTCCTCAATGGGTTTTGCACATTATGTTTGGAGACAGGGTCTCTCAGTGGACCTGGAGCTCAGTGATTTGGCCGTGTTAGCCAGTCAGCCCCAGGAACTCCATCTCCACCTCCCCAACACAGAAATTACAAGTGACTGCTTCCATCCCCCACTTTTTATGTGGGTTCTTGAGATCCTAACTCAGGACCTCACCCTTGGATGGAAAGCAAATTACTGACTACGGTTATGATTTACCTTTTAATTTTCTAATTTTTATATGTTTATGGGTGTTTTGTCTGAATGTATGTCTGTGTTTCATGTGCATGTCTGATGCCCAAGGAGGCCAGAAGAGGATCCCCTGGGACAGGAGTTGTATATACGTGGTTGTGAGCTTCCATGTGTGTGTTGGGATCAAACCTAGGACCTTGGAGGGGCAGCCAGTGCTCTTAATCACTTAGCCATTTATCCAGCTCCGGATTTACCTTTTAGAGAGAAAATATCATAGAAGCAGAATAAAGTGACAAACAGGATACCTGACTAGAGTGCAGCTTCTTATTTTCCAGGTGGCTCTTCTCCTGTAGCAGGGCTTCCTTTTTAGAGATGATGGCTTCGCGTTTCTTCAGGTCTTCTTCCAGCATCTCTAGTTCTTGGCGTTGGTTCAAAACTTTCTCTACTTCTTCATCTAACCATTTCTTTTGCTCATCCAATTTCTACATTAAAAGAAATACTGTGGTTTGTTTCTCCCCTACCATAAAGACTCTTATCATTTTAAATGGCTGGAACTTTAAAAAAATGAACATTAAAATTATTCATCTTCCCATTTGGCTCTGATGATTCTGGTTAACATGTTGCTGTGTTGTTTTGTAAAGAGTAAAGTTTATTATCCTACAGTGTTACTCAAGCTCTTTTTGCCTGGCAAAAGCATCACAATTTTCTCTACATCTATTAAAGCCAGGCTGGGTATCTTCACACGTTGTAGAGGCCATGCTTCCACCATGGCTCTCTTTAAGCTGCCGTCCTCCAACCTGAGCTACTTGAAAGACTCCATGAGCAGTACTTTTCAGTTCTCTATGATTCATATCTGACGTGCTGCCTGGCCTGCAGATGGTATCTGATACAAGGTCAAATGAGTAAGTAAATAAATGCCTTATTCAATCATCCAATGGAATAAACACTCCATGAAAAAACAAATCTACTTTATAGATTGTTAACTTCAAAAACTGCAAAATACAACAAAAGGGTGGAAGGATATACAAAGTATGTTAGTATCCTGTTAACACAACCAGAAGCAAGACAAATATAAATAAAACATGACTAAAATACATCCTATCACAAGCACACTGAAATGTCATTAAAGGCACTAAAACAACAAATAAATAGAAAAGTCAACACAGCACAGAAAGAACTGGAAATCTGTATTAAGAGAGTGAGAAAGCAGACACCGTGTCCCAAGCCTGTAATCCTGCATTCCTGAAATTTTCAGAGTAATCTCGACTTACCTGAGACCCTGCCACAAAACAACAACAAATAGAAACGAGGCAATAAAAATGCACAAGAAGAGAGAGCAGTGTAGTCAAGGCAACAAAGGTTTGCAAAGCCAGTTAATCTTCCAACAGACCTGTGAAGTATGATCTTGTGAGCATTGTCAATCCACCCAACACTGATGCCCACAGGAGCAGTAGCACTGCAGTTATCAGGAGTGGGAAGTGTTCAAATACTTCAGTTTAGCCTAGACCCAGGAAAAGGCTTTAGGAAGTCCACAATTAAGTTAATATTTACAGCATTTCTCAACTGTGAGTGGGGTTTCCAGTAGACAAAAAGACAATTACAATTGTTGAAAATATTTCTGAGTGCAAATGGTATCTGTGGGAATACATCCATACTCTAAATGTTACTATTAAAATATGTAAAATGTAAATATTTTTCAAATTTTAAATAGATGTATTTGTATTCTGAATATGATTACAATTTTAAGTACACTGTTTTTCTTAAATAAATATTTTCAATTTTTTTGACCTTTGAAATTCGTTTATGGGTTATGGTTTTATTTTTTTAAATATGACACCAAAATACTCCTTAATATGTTATTGTACATACATAATTTGATTCTGTTTGAATGTAGAGTTCTAGATTTTAGAAATATACCTGTCTCTCTGAGAATAAATCTGTCTGTAATGGGAATAAATATAATCTAATATTATAACATGTATTTCATACAATATTCAAATAAATCATTTCTGCCGACATAAGAAGATAACACATTTCTGGATAAGAAATAATTTAATAAAATTTTTTGAAAGAAATACAGGACATTTTACAAACAAGCAACAAAAAAAATCTAATGTCTGAAGATTTTATTCAGAATCTTCTATTTTTTAACCTATACTTAGACTCTCATCAAAATTGAAGAGCATTAGAAACACTGAACAGAGCTGACCAACCTGGAGTTGGTCCACACTTCTAAAAGGACCTTTTCTTCTGTTCGAGTTAAATCCATCGAGATCTTCAGCCTTTGGGTTCAGATCTTCTCCTTGTCCTGTTTTTAACTGCAGCTCCTGCATACAGAGAAATTAAAAATGCCTTATTCACTTTCACTACCCGCTACCGTCGCTCATTAAGTATGCAGATGACCATTCTTTCTCTGTTCTCTTCCCTTCTCCCACTGCCCCTTTCCTTTTCACTGCTAGGTTAGACCCCAGAGCCACACGCCTGTCAAGTGTGCTCTGTTGAGTTTACACCCACAGCCTTTGAATGATTTTCTTAGCATTCACATTCCTTGTTACAAGAGCAAAAATAAGATAGAGTGAGGTCATTTTAACTTTAAGGCAATAAAGTCGGTTTACTAACAAAACTGAATCTTTTTCATTCTTTGTATTACAAATTTCCCTGTGTTCTTCTTTTCTACCTTTCTGAGATTGTGACCCTCACAGTCACCCATGATACTTACCTGCCATAGATGTATCTGGACTTACTATAGTAGAAATGCAAGTTTCCAGTGCAGAGTAATTCTCGGGCTGGAACACTAGCTTGATAATTAAGAGTGGGTGCTCATCTTGCAGAAGACCTGAGTTGAGTTCCCAGAACCCATGTCAGGTGGCTCACAACCACTATAACTCAAGCTCTGGGGGATCAGATGTCTCTGACCTCTGTGGGACCTGTGCTCATATGCACATACACACATATATACAAAATTAAAAATAGTATTTTTAAAATGGGAGCCTGTAGCTTAAGATCAGACAGAACAAAGCATTGAAAAGAGCAGTCTCTAACTTCATTAGCTTCTTTTACGTCTTAAGGACTGAATCAAGAAGCCCAATGCTCATGGTGTTCCCCCACTACTGACACCTGGAGTCAGGAAGGAGGGTGTGGATAAAATGGTTCCCATGTACTGGATGGTAACTAAGGAGAAGAGATACAGGGAGGAGCCTGGCCTTGACTTCAAGAGACCTAAGGATTATTTACATTTTCAGAGTAAGATTTGAACAGATATTTGGTTAAATATGGGTTTGTTACTGATCGACAATGGGTAAGTATAGAGATTGAAAGCGTTCGGTAACTTTCATAGCAATTCCACCTCATAATTCTTTTACCTACTGACTTCAAACAGTTAAGTCTTGTGCTGATCTGAGCATAATTTATGCCTATAATCTTGCTACTTGGGAGGTTGAAATAACAGGATCACATGTTTGAGGCCAACCTAGACAACAATAGTGTGTGTATGTGTGTGTGTGTGTGTGTGTGTGTGTGTGTGTGTGTGTGTGTGTGTGTGTGTGTGTATTTTAAGTGAACCTTTAATCCCAGCTCTGGGGAGGCAGAGGCAGGCAGATCTCTGTGGTGAATTCAACCTGGTTTTATACATAGTGAGTTGCAGGACAGCCAGGGATACATAGATACTGTATAAAAAAGAGTATGGGGCACAGTAGCAGGACACACCTGTCCCCTGACCCTCAGCCATGAATTTGAGACCAGACTGAGCTACGTACTGAGATCATGTCACAAAGACAAACAAGTAGAGAAAGCAATCAAAAATGTGTGTGTGTGTGGGGGGGGCTTTTATTAGTATAATTTTACTTCATTTTTCTGCTAGTTTATGTTTTACAAAAGCATTGGGCTGTGACAAATGTATAAGGAAGTAAAAAACTGCTTCTCAAAGATCATTTCAGGAGTGTTATCACAAAAGAAGCAAACAGAAAGATCTGAGTTCTGGGCATGAAATGATCAAGCAGAAATAACAAAGATCTGTGCTGCAACTGGCCTCTCCTGACTTCTGGCACAGACAGGGCAGGAAAGGGCTCAGGGGAGCAGAGGGGTCTAACCCTGGGGGACAAGAGTGCTCAGCCTCTGTGAAGGAGCAGACAGGCACAGTTAGGAGACACTGACAGACTTCTGGGTACCATTTGGTGTGTATTCTAAGTGGAAAAGCATGCAGGCCAGTCATTAAGGACAAACAAGGACACAAGGCTGAAGGCAAGGAAAGACCGGGCTAACAAATTAGATAAAAAGACTCAGTGGCCTCAATACAGTTTATAATGTCATTGGAGAAAAGGTGAAATAAAAGCATTGTCATGCTCTAAAGCAGAGCAACCTGTAAGTTACTCCAGCCAGGGGCCCATCATCAAGAGCCAGGGCTAACAGGTTAAGGCAGGCCAGATTCTAGTCAGCAGTATCTTCAACTCTGTGGATGCAGCAGGAGATCCACACACTCTGGTACCATATATGGAGATGCCATCAAGGGCAAGAAATATAGGGAAGGTGATGGACTGGACCTTCTTATTCCAGAGAACTAAGAATTATATAAAGGAAATGCTTGTGTTTCAGCACAAGCTCTGAGTGGACAGGTGTTTTTAAGTTCTTACCTTGTCTGCAGCATTAGTGTAGCATAGATGGTGGTGCAAAGCTGAACTCTCAGAGAACCTCCCCTTTGGCTCTAGTTCACAGTCATTATTTACCCTGTCACACCCTGGGAATTTCAGGATACTGAAAGAAATTTCCTTTGAACAAAGGCACCTTGACCTGGGAGGTGAACCTATATAATACCTATTCATCTCTCCCATGTGCTACTTTAGAAACTACTGCCTTTTCTTTATAATTAATTCCTGTCACAATACAAAATAATGGTGAAACTGGTGCCTGTGCCGGACTTGAAAAAACCAACCACTTAATTATAGTATTTAACTGTTGCAGAATAGTTGTACACTGTGTGAAGATGTGTTGCTGTGATTGGTGCAATAAAAAGCTGAATGGCCATTAGCTAGGCACGAGGTATAGGTGGGACTTCTGGGTAGAGAGAAACTGGGAAGAAGAATCTAGGCATGCAGGAGACACCAGAAGATGCAGAACAAGTCGACGTATAGGAAAGGGGAAGAGGTTAAAAAAAGCCACATGGTAGAATGCAGATTAATTTAAGTTATAAGAGCTAGTTGGGGGCAAGCCTAAGATAAAGGTCAAGCTTCCATAATTAAATGGAAGTCTCCATGTTGTTATTTGTAGGCTGGTGATCCAAAATAGTCCAACAAGAAAGCTTGCCACATTTAACCCTTGCAATGACACCGTGAGAACAGAACTACTGTAAACTCCATGTCAGAAGGAAACAGTGCTGATAAGTAAAAAGCCCAGTATCACAACGCGACCCATGATTTCAGAGATTCTCCCTTATTTCTCTGCATAAGCTCAGTATGGTGCTTATGACTGTAACCAAAGCACTCTGGAGGCCGGGGCAGAAGGAACGCATGTTCTAGGCCAGCCTCAGTGACAGAGACACACTCTGTCTCAAAGCCAAACAAAACCTGAATCTTAGCCATAGAGATGTGGTTCAGGTACCCAGTGCATGACTCATACACAAAAGACCATGGGTTCCGACTCTAGTGTGCCCAAAACAAAACAGAGAAGAAGAGCCCATGAACAAGCCATTCTATGCTCTGGATGGTTTAGACAAGTATAAGTTAGATAAACAGATTAAAGTTATCTCTAAACAAATGCCGAAGTATTCTTTTGGACTGAGCATGGTTCTCTGTTTTATAGGAAGGAATACAATGCTACTACATTTGGAGTAATCTGTTTCTTTGTCTGGAATACCTATACTGAACAATTGCTGCAAAGAGTGTGAAAGTTTAAGTTATAGGTAGAGTTGCATTTCAATGGTTTATAGCATGGATTTAGACAGCACTATGTCTGAGGTAAGCCATGGCCTGTGTTACATGAAACCCCAAACCATAGTCTGACAGGCAGGCCTGATCCTTATACCAATGGAAGAATGTAGACCAAGACTCAGAGTTGCTTACAACAGAGACTGTAGTGATGTATTGTGTACCCTAATAAAGCTTGCCTGAAGATCAGAGGACAGAACAAGTCATTAGATTAAACATAGAGGCCAGGCAGTGGTGGCACACACCTTTAATCCTAGCATTCAGGAGGCAGAGATCCGTCTGGATCTCTGTGAGTTCAAAGCCACCCTGGACTACATGAGATTGACTCAGTCTAGGAGAGAAACAGAGCCAGGCAGTGGTGGCACACACCTTTAATCCCAGTACTTGGGAGTCACATGCCTTTAATCCCAGCACTTGAAATCTCATGCCTTTGCTTTGGAAGCACACATGCCTTTAATCCCAGGAAGTGAGGGCTGGGCAGAGAAAGGTATATAAGGCTTGAGCAGGCAGGAACTAGAGGCTTTTTCAGGCTGAGGAGTTCTAGAGGTAAGAGGTATCTGTGGCTTGTTCCTTTGTCTCTCTGATCTTTCAGAATTTACCCCAATATCTGGTACTGGTTTATTTTATTTTATTTTTTATTAAAAGAACATTTAGAATTCGAGCAACACAGACAGAATTAGAAACACTACAAACTGGCAATTGACATTCCCAAGAATGTCAGATAACATCTACTCATAGGCTGTGTCCAGGGACAGTTAGAGAGTAGCTGCCTTATGATGTGGTAGGTAATGGCAAACACTAATTTCAGTAGCAAAGGAAGAAAGAAAGGGAATTTTGGAAAACAGAACAGTGGAGAAAGTGTAGAGTGTATCCTAGGGGGCTTGTCCCTGACTGGGGTGCCTTCTTCCTGGTTAAGGACAAACACAGGCTACAGAATGACATAACAGGACAAAAGGAAAGCCCCAGAAACTGCACACAGGTAATTCTAAAGGAGAACGAGAAAGAGTGGAGAGGGAGGAAGGGAGAAGAAGAGGAAGAAAGAAGGGGAGGAAGAGAGGGGGAGGGGAGGGAGGGAGGCACTTGCAGCAGCTACACTGGCAGAGGGAAGAATGCCAGGAAAATCCTCTCCTCTCAGCACTCAAACAGCATTGCTAAGCAGCAAGTTGGCAGCTAGACGGGTTAAGAGGTAATGATCCCTCCTGGGACGCCTCACTATAAAAACCCAAAGCAAATGTCACAGTACTATATTCTGAGATTTGAGCTGGAGAATTTCTCTAACTAAAGAGGGAAAATTTGAACCACAGTATTTCATGAGGTGGGGATCTGACCTAGGCTAGGGATCCCAAAGGCCCACTGAGACAGGCGCAGCACCCATGCTAGGCTATACTAGGGACCATACAGAAGAAGGC